GCTTGTTTTTTCCACAGTTGCTTAAAGCTCAGCCATATCAAGGTATTCTCTACCTGTGAAATATGCAGCAAGCAAGAATCAGGAGCTGTGTGTACATTTAAACTACATATTTTACAATCTACAAATCTGAGAAAATCTTTTAATTAAAAAAAAATTTTTTTTTTTTTTGGGTTGAACTTTTTCCTCAACTTTTTCCGTTGAGGAATACTTACCCGGGCAGAAGAAAACAATATTTCCCCATTTTTGAATACATTAACTCCAGTGAGCCCAGAAAATAGAAGAGAAAAACAACATCTACACTCCTATAGAGCATGATAAAGTCCTTCTTTTATAAAGTTGCTGTATGGGAGTATATCTTACCCAGGATTAATTAGCAACCTCGTTAACTCTAAATTATTTTAACAGTATACTCTTAAACAGCCTGCTTAGCGGTGACTCTCTCTTCATATTAATAAATCGCTCTGTTAATTGTGGCATTTGGATTGCTAATGACTGAACTGTAGTGTATTATACTTAGCCTGAATATGCACCCTGTAATTAGTGCTCAGCCACCTGGCTGCAACACAGTCACCTGCGGATGCCATGGGCTGGGGCTGGATGACAGTGGCATCGCAGGGCTGCCCTTATATCCACTTCGGTGGAAATTCCATTTCCTGGCTGTCTGAGCTTTCAGATCCATGGAAAGCCACTAGGCAGTATAAAGCGAAAGACATGTGAATATGTTTTATTGGAAGATAAATAAACTTGTTTACCCATCCAATATGCTCTTGGTGCAAGGATGTTAGAGGTATTTGTAATACCTCCAGATAAATGGCTGTTGATTTATTCTCCACTCAGGCCCAACATCTGGCCACCTCTGCCCTCCGATGCCCGTTAGTGCCTTTAATCTGCTCCTTTCTGCTTGCTTTCTGCTCAAGTGAAATGCAAGAATGCAGCAGCACGGGGAGAAGGCACCTAAGGGGTGGCCGTGTCACAGCTGAGCCCTAGGAAAGCCCGGCTGTCCAGCACAGGCTGTGAAACCCAAAGCCTGAAACCTCCTCCAAAGAGGCCAAAGGAATGAAAACAAGACATGCCACCTTCCACAGAGCACAGGGGCCTTAATGGCTCTATGAGGCCCAAGTGAAATTAAGCAAGCAGAAGTTTACAGGCTGATTTTTTTTTTAGCATACATTATTGGCATAATTGAACATGGGCATGGCTGACACTGTTCAAATGCACAGTGTTAGGGGAATGGATCTGCAGAAACAAAATGGAGTGAGGAAGAGCTTTGTATTCCCAGGGATGTTCCCATCAGGGCCACATTAAGAACAAGCAGGGGTCCACTATGGACAGAGAGTAGAGCCATGGGAAGCAGCTCTTCTGGTGAAGGTGTGGGACTCTGCAGAAGTGGCCTTAACATTTAGTTCCATCCCCAAAGGCCCAAACGTAGGCAAGACACCTACTCCCTCGGTTTCCCGTCCATGAGAAGTAGAGATATAACAATATCTCTTCCTCCCAACCTTTTTGTCTTCAATGTTTAGGTTGCAAAGTCCTTCAGGGGACAAATGCTGGGGAGGGGCCTCACAGTCTCAGCAAGGGGACATCACTGTCACTGGAATATAAATAACCAAATAATTTTGGTTGCAATGTTGTGCTGCTAGCAGTGTACACTAGAAGATTTTCAGTGTATTGTGCTTATAGTTTAGACTCAGACCTCAGAAAATGTCTCAGCTAAGGCAAAGTAGGGATGGAACATGCTCTGTTTTGCACCTCTGTATCAGTAGCTAGAAGAACGAGGGAAAAGGAGAAAGAAAAATAATCATCTTTGTGTAACTCCAAACTTCTCAGTGGGACTTGTTTAGCGTGAAAGAATGATTAGTAATTTTTAGTGATTAGCAATTTTCTCCCTCAGGGGGCTTTTCTGCGTGCCTGTAGAGCTCCCATACACAACAGACCTGCCAAATGGAAAGAAAAAGCTGAGGCTGAGAACAGCACATTGCAGTGAAAGTCTAGAGGGTGTTTAAAACAGATATATTTTATTCTTTTCAAGCAACAGGCCTAATCATCATAAGGAATAAAATCCCTGTTTCTGAAGCACTTTGTGTTTGTGCAAAATTCCTCCTAAAGCTCTCTAGGTCTAATACCAGTACCATGGCCAACTTGGGAAGCACAGATATCTATCTATATAGATATATTTATGATTTCTCCTCTTTCCTGTATTGTTTAGAACAGAGAAGAGATGAAAGAGACCCCTTGGTTAGGCCAATCTTTTTTTGCTCCATGACATGCTGAGGAAATTGTACTCTGGTGTCTAGAAAGACGGTTTTATCTGCCCCATTGTGCAACCAGAACTGATTTTTAATCTGCGTTGGAAGGGAGCTTTTTTCCCCTTCTCTTTTTTCCAATTGATTCTGCTGCAGGAAGGATCTTGTATTTTATGAGCAGGGAACATGGGGCCAGATTCACACGGGGGTAATTTTTACTGAAGCTGGTTGAGTTATACCAGGGATGGATTGACCCATGATCTATTATTTTTTTCCCCTAACTGCAGCTCTTCTGCAAAACCTCAGTCATTACACCTGGTTAGACTACAAACTTGACCACCTGTGTGGCCTCAGCATTTCCTTTTATGAATCATCCCCTATCTCAGATAAAGAAATCCAAGACAAGCTGAACATGACTGCTTAGTTTGATGACAATCACACACCTTGCCCAGCTCAGGGTTTTGAGTCTAACCCTTTCCAGGAGCTGGGAAAATATTCTTGGCTTAAAGCATCCCATTTAATGCTACCTTTAAAACATGAAGAAGAATACCCACTACATTTATTGTGAAGAAAAGTGCTGGAATGAAACCACTGCAGACTGAATTGCTACGTTTATAGAAGAGCTGCCACCCTTCACTTGGTTGCCTCATTAACGTGCAACCTTGGCAGTTTACAACAAAGAACAAAACAACGAGCAAATTAAGGTCTATATCCAGCCAGTCGTAAACCAATATCCAGTAAACCCCCCAGCTATGGGGAGCATTGCCATTTCATGTGAAAATGATTTGAGATTTACTAACATTGTGAAGATCCATTGATTGCTTCTGCTTCAGAGTCAGCTCCCAATCCTGTCTGTCTTTCTCTTCTGATTCCCTGAGGATCTTGACCATGTAGAGAGTGAACATAAGTGATATCAACACATCCTTCATTATCATCTCTGTGGAAGGATCAACAGAAGTCTGGAGCCTTAACAATGGTCAGATCCAAGTATCACAGAGGAGAGGCAGCCAGGAGTTACATTACTGAGGCTGACACTTCTCCCAGGAGAAAGGTGGGAAAGCAGACATGCTCCTGGCAGCAGGATTCATTGAATCAACCTGAACTGGAGCAGCTTGGACAAGGTTGGATGTACTGATCAGTCTTGATGAGGACTTTCACCTTCCTTGCTGAGCTGACACCTGAGAAGTGCAAAAATCCCTATTTTCTTCCTTAGAGAGGAGAGGGTTTAAGACACACTAGTCACTGGCAGAGGACATGCAAATCTGCATGAAGTGGACTTGGCAATTTTTTCCTCCAGGTCCTTCCCAGATGTTTTCCCATAGAGAAGTGTGGACTGCTTCAGGGCTGTATTTGAACTGCTGGCCTAGAGATGAAAATTTTCATATCACCCTTGAAAAATCTAAGTGTGGAGCTAGTGGGAAGGCTGAGCAAGTACAGAGTCTTTCACACTTCACTCCAAGCTCTCCCTTCAACAACAAATGGGTGTAGTCATTTTAAGAAAAAGTATTTGTTTAAAAGCAAGCACCCAAACTGACATTTTTCTAACATTTTTTATGCAGCTGAGAAATAGAACAAGTTGTCTAGGAACATAATTTTACCATTAAAAAAGACAACTTCAGTGAATGTTTTTGCTCATTCCAAAAACCCATTTCACATTAAAAGAGAACAGCAATGGAAAGTTTCCAAACCAGTTGTCATGTCTGTGTGCACATAGACAGAGTCTAGCTCCTCAGCTTGCTGCCTGTCCTAGGTCTGCATTCACCCAAGCAGCCCAATGGATGGATGTTAATGGGATTAAATGCTTGAATGTCTTTTCCTGGGCTGCCAGAGGTTGCTCATATACCTGGGCAATGCAATTTGCCTTTTTGGCACTGGCATTTGCTCATGAATTCCTCTTCCCCACCATTTGGCAAATGCATAGAAAAACAAGTCCAATGAGGGTCAGGAGCACCGGCATGTCTTGCTGTTGCACTGAGAAGGGAATTTCGTTCTCAGGCAATGGCACCCAGAGCTTTAGGTGGGCTGCAACCTTGAGCTCAGTCTCCTGCTGCCAGAGCCCACACGCACCGGAGCAGAGTGCTGCAAGGCCACACAAGAGCATCTCAGGGGGTGCGGATGGCCGGAATCCAACCTATAAATGTTGTTGTTTGAGCTGTCATTACATGTGGTTATGGGCATGTGCTAGCCCTTCTTGGACTGCACACCAGGTGTCCTTGACTGGAGAAATGATTTCTTTTCCTGTTGGAACAAGACTTCCTTTTTTTTTTTCTTCTCTTTCTTCTCTTTCTTTCTCCTCTCTCCCCCTTTCCTATGGTTAAAAATAAGACCCAGATTTTATCTCAACTGAAAAGTGAATTTTCATTTGATTAATATTGGACCTACAAGTTTTTTAAAGGGGAGGAGGCTTTACCTGTCAGCAATCCTTCCCTGTTGGGCATTTTACCCTTGCTCAAGCATATTATGCCCCTAATCTCTAACAGCTGCTTGCAAATAAGAAGGCACTTCAAGCCCTGTTCTAACTTTTGCTCTCTCTAGGCACCATTTCTCATAGATCTCCTGTCACATTATCCCATGATAGGGATAGGATGAAGGATTTTGCCATCCTCCATGGAATTTATTATATTCTTTTCCTCAGCATTCAGATACTTTCTGCCAAATTGCTCACCTTGTTGCTTTGCAGTTTTTATACTCCCTGCCCAGGAGCCTCATCTCACCACACAAATAAGCTGTTCTCTGTCATTCACTTATTTTTTATGCTGAGATGGGTGCAGCCAAGGGTACAGTAGGTGACTGTGGGACCAGCTGCACCTTTATAGATCCAGGCACTAAGTATTTCATGTTGTGCTGCTTTAACCTTTCACAATTCAGCCGCAGAGTGGAGAATCTGATCTTCCCTTTTGTGTCCACAGATGCAACTGGAGTCATGCCCGTGCACATTACTTGCATATTCCAGCTCAGTGCTGGCCATTGCACTGCTCATCTTCAGTTTTACAGCAAATTGGAGAAAATGCCATTCCTCAGGACAGTACTCTTTCCCATCTGAAATAACATTTTTCTAGGACAAAATGGAAAAAACACACAAACTTCTTTAACAGTTAGGAAAAATTGAGGCAATTTATCCACTAGGTGACACTGTTTACCTGCAGATTCTGTTCAGTTTGTGAGAAACCCCACAAATCTTTCAAAAGTAAAATACAATATGTTTTGCTCTTAAAGAAAAAGGAGAATGGTTGCAGAGAAGAAGGAAAATGGGCTGTCAGTGAGGCACAATTAAGGGCAAACCTACAGTTACGAGACTTTATGGTCTGGTTTCAAACTATTTACTAAAATGAATTTTTAGAAGCTGCTTTTTATCAGGCCCATTTCAATGCTTTAGGAAACTTTCTTATTTAAAGAAAAAAAAAGGAAAAAAGGCACTCACCATTAGCACAAATCTCAGCTGGGCTCGGATTTTGTCTTGGAGAGTGGCATGAAGAGAACTGCGTGGTAAAAGAACCAGGGAAGAAGGAGAAAACAGAAGAGAATTTCTGCAATCTCATCTGAGGACAGCTTGGTGGGAAATTGTTTTCCACTCTAAGAGGTTTCAGAATTTCACTCCCCTGTCTCAATATGAAATATGGCTGGAAATGGTTATCTCAATTTCTGAAGACTAGTAATCTGTAAGAAACAAAACCTGCTTGGTTGTTATTGCTATTATTTCACATTTAAATATCAATTTCTGACTACTTATTTTTTAATATAGAACTACATGGTTTTATTTGAAAATGTTTTTTTACATAATGCTTATAATGCTGGCCACATTAAAACATTTTAAAGCGAAAGTGAGATTTTTCCAAAATAAAGACTATCCCACAAAATATTGCATTTTTCATTAATATTTTCTAATTAGAAAAAAAAAATCCTTAATTGGGAAATTCCTAAGCTTCTTCTTAGGAATTAAGCTTCCTGCTTCTGAGGACCACTCAGCAAGGGCTCAATGCAGAAATGATGTGATTGGCAAGGGTGTTAGGGACGTCTGTTTGGCTTTGCTATGGCAGGGACTCACACTTGCAAGGAAAGGGGATGCATCCCTCCGAACTGGGCGTGCACCTTGGAAAAACTTGTACAGCAATTTTTGCATGCTACAAACAGGCCAAAAGAAACAACGCTCATTTGAAGCCCTTTACCCAGTGCATCAGAAATAGGAAACACTCACTGTGCCAAGTGAAACATACGGGCCTAAGCAATTTCTGGGTGCTTGGTAGCTCTAGGAACAGGCTAGACCTCTCTAAAGAGCTGGGAGAACTGCATGGAAACGTGCCCACCCAATCTTCTCCCACTGTGAGTCAGCCTTTTTTTTTTTTTTGTAACCACAACCCATAAGAGGCTTACAGCCCAGTTCTTGTTTAAACATGGCCATGGTTTTCAGAGAACACCTTTAATTTCAAGTAGAAACCAATTAACTATCCATATTCAAGTATAGCGTTTGGCTATGACTCCAAACGCTGCATAAAAATATCATTTTGGGGAATGTTTCTATACACTACTATTCACATTTGTATGGAAAGATCCTCTTCTCTATGGCGTGGTCATTTCGCACCTTGGCTCTAAAATAAACGGCTAGCTGAGACTTTGTTTTCTGAAGCCCTCTTCTCCATTTGATCCTCCATCCCAAAACGCAAGGCTCAGCATCAGCTCACCTTAATGGAGCAGAACATGAAGTCCCTGAGAGGCAAAGCACCCCTCCCACACCACCAATAACTTACCACTCTCCCTATTAAAGCTGGAAGACTGTCCACAGGTCCAACCAAAGTGAGATGTTCTTCATGCTCCCCGCTGAGCTCCAGTATGAGGCTCTCTCTCCTTTTCTAAATATTTGTTCAGGGGTTTTCTAGATGTCTGCAGTCATCTGGAGTTTCACAAGGGTGCACAGATGGAGACCAGCAAGCGCTTGACCACAGGTTTGGGATTGTTAAGCAGCAGCAACACATCTACCAGGGAATCTGCAGGGGTCTACTAAAAGGAAAAGATTGAATAGCACCAGCCATAGCTGGGAACATTCAGCCTGCTTGTTGTAATGATAAAGTGAGAAGAAAGACTTGCTTCAAAGCCCCTGCAATCAAAGAGCAGAAGACAGGAGAGCAATGGAGGTGCAGAGACACTCTGGGAATTTCTACCTCTGGCCAAGGGAGCTTGTGGCAGAGCCAAGCAGTGCACGGGGGTCACCCATAGAGCTGGATGAGAAGGAGCAACCAGGTTTCTGCTGGTGCTTCTGCCACCCACAACGTGGCCTGTGTTTCAGTCCCCGCCTTTCCTGAAATCCACACAGCATAATTGATAATTGTATGAAAAGACTTGGGGGCTGGACAAGATAATAGCAGTTTTACAAGAGCCTAAAAGACACTGAAAACTTCTATGGTGTTTTTAATGTAAAATTATTATTTTTCCCCACTGTTCAATGCACACAGTAGTAGCTGGAACAGATTCAATGGTTAGGTGGATAACACGTTATTTCTACTCATTTGAAGCAGTTTTTCAGCCCCTCTTGCACATATTTTGGGGAGAAAAGGAGATGCAGGGGCTTTTTAAAGAACCAGCTAAGTCCCTGCTTTGTCTTGTAAGGTGGACAGGACCAACCTGCGCTTAGGTTGTCACTCCAGATTAAACTACACCTATATGCTGTGCAAGCTTGTAACCATGTCACTCCTCCAGAAACGTTCATACAGTGAGGGGAAAGGCTCACACTGCCTTTGATGGCACTTTTCCATCTTCAGCTTTTATGACTCAACGATGAGGTTAAGGGCCCTGGTTTAAGAAGGCACAGAGCAAACTGGCACAGCAGAACCTTCTCCCACCACTGTTACACCAAATATTCAAGGTTGGAAGGGACCTCTAGAGATCACCTAGTCCTACCTTTCTGCTGTTCTTCAGTTCAAAATATTTCATGTATTCCAGCCTCGCTTAGGGCTCTCATTAGTCATGAGTGCGAAAGACAGCAAATGCACTGAACAACATGACAGTTTTGAGAGGCACACCAGAAAGAAGAAATCATGAAAAAGAAAATAGTTCTCCAGAGAGCTGGGTCTAACAAACTCATTTCACTTGTGACACAATCCAGATTTGAGACCGCACCTTTAGAAGCGAAGGGAAGGAGCTGGTTTGTTTAATTTTGGATATTTGCATATCTCTTTCTCTCGCTGCATTGATATCAGATCTGCAACAATCTATTAAAGCTTTCATTTGAATAGCCATTATATGCCTGAGAATGGAGACCAGGCTCCTTGGGGGTACTTAGGAATAAACAAATCATTTGTGGCACATGTGTTGTTCAAGCTTCAAGCAAGGTAAATGGAAAACACAGATTATGGTGCCTCGAGTCCTCTCCATTTTCCCCTCTTGTCAAACATTCTCACATTCTTCAAAAGGAGAATCTGGCCATATTATTAGCAATAAAATGGCTTATAGCTGAAATTTTGAAAAGATTTAACAATGTTCTTTGCAGGAATTGTGTTTCTCATTACATAAATCTCCAGGCTCTCGGACAAACGACCACCACAGCAAGCCATTATGTCCTGCTGTGGCGGTGTCTCCACTTTATAAAGGTAAAGATTCGGGGCTTTTTGACTTGTTTTTCAATTCTTCTTCTTTTTGAAGAAAACTAAATAAAACAAAAACCAAACAAACAAAAACCAACAAACCAAACACTATATTCAGCATAGAAAAGTCCCTTCAAGTCCATCTGCACTATGGCAGATTCAGTCCCTATTTACACCAGTGACCCACGAACCACTAGGGAAAGAGTTTAGAGAGGACACAGATGGATGGGGAACACGGAGGCACCAGGCTGCCTTTGACAAAACAGCCAGGCTCCTTCCTCACCTGCCCCAAAGGCGCTGCAGCTGCAAGGAAGGTGGCAAGAAAGGATGGGGTCCACAGTGTTTATCCCTGATCCTGGGGTCTACTGTGTTTTGACCAGGCATCTGACTTCTGGTGCATGGGTGTCTGCACCCGAGATGCACCTGGTGGATGGAGGACAGAGAAGCTTTCATTTTGGAAAGCAAATATTACACAGATTCACAGAATATTTAAGGTTGGAAGGGACCTCTACAGATCATCTAGTCCAACCTTCCTGCTCAAGCAGGCACACCTACAGCATGTGGCACAGGGTGGCATTAGGAACAAAATAAAATCAGGTAAGGTGAAACCCCAGCCAGCAGATCCTGGAGCTGATGAAACAAAATTTTTAAGTCTTCTATTGAAAAATACGCTGTCAACTGCTAGGCAAATTTCTCAGGTTGATATGGCAACTGCAAACACTGGAAATCAAAAAGCTGAGTGAATGTTCTTAAAGGAGAAAAATAGTCTCATTCCTGATAAGCAGGCATTTCCATGCTCACTTCCTGAACCTGCCCTATAAATTCACAGCCTATGGGAACAGCAGCATCATGAGATGATGCTGATCCTCTCTCCACTGTCAGAAGCCATCACTTGGAGGTGGCAGTTACATTGCTGGGCCTTTGTGTAACAGCTGGACAGCCACAGCTTATATCTTAGCCCTGCTGCAGCAGTAGCATCCATCTGCTATCAAGGACCAGCGTGTTTCCTCCCTGCGGGAGTGGCCCTTTGGGCAGAAAGCCCTTGGGACCAACCTCAATATTTAAGATCATGCTTCACATTAAATCAGTCAGTAGTCCCAACACCACTTTTGAATTTAAATCTGAGCAAGTTTTGCTGGACTTCTTAAGGTTTCTTCAAAAACATACGCATACACATATATATTATGACACTAAACCAATACTTCTGACTGGCATCAGAGACTAGACAGAACTCCTGGTTATCCAGCTTCTTGTCTGTATTATAACTCTATCATGTATCATTTTTCCTGATAGGAAGCTAGTAGGGTTGCAGGAGTGCTGATCTCTCCTGCACACATGTCCTGTGGCATGGCTCAGTGGGAATGGGTCAGTAGCCCACGCGAAGGAAATGGCTCAAACTGGGCAGAAGAATAGCCAGCTGGCAGGTTGGCTGGGAACAAAAGAATTAATGACCCGTAGGTGTCCAAAGAGCCTGCTACAGGAAGAACATAAACAGTATTTGCTTCGTATAGGCACTGCGTCTCCCAGGCCTAGCCAATTTGTACGAAACAGAAGAGGGAAATGGGCATTAAGTACCCAGCATAGCCACTTGAGGAGAAGGACTAAACGGGACATTCACATTCCTATGCCAGCTACTTACTCCAGAAAGGTTTAAGGTGGGGAATGTAGACGAAAGGAAAAGAGAAAGATAAGTTGAGAGATGCATATGCTCAGAATGGGTGTTTATATGAAATCTGATAATTGCAGTTCTGGCAGCTGTTATACAAAGAGGGGCCCCCTGGATAAAAATAGATGAGACAATTGGGAAGATACTAAGATTTAAAGCTAGACTAGCACTATACTATTTGTTTTTAAGTTCTCACTTTCAACCTCTTAATAAAAAAATTGTTTGTTTTACCGACAAACGTAGAAGTGACCGGTTCATGATGTACTCATACCAAGAAAAGCACTGAGTGCAGGTGCCCAAGATGGTGGCCAAAGGAAGAAGCTACTAGCTGTAAAATGCCTCAGATCCCACTGACTGCATCTTCTTAAACCAAAGTCTCACAAATTACACAGCCAACCAATATTTAGCAATTCAAGGGGGACATGAGGACCTTAAAAAACCCACCTCAGAAAACCAGAGGGGGTAATCAACTGTTATTTTATTTTTATTTTATCTTTCCTTTAAGCAAAAGGTTGCTATTCTTTTCTCTTTCCACAATGAAGCTAACAGATTTATGCATCAAGTTTTCCAAATATAGACATCAAACTGATGTTATTCTCCCACTGCTAATTTTATTCTTAGCAGCACTTACATAAAGGAAAGTATTGCAAGATATGACAAAAATATAAACCTCTCCTGACCTGGAATGTACTGGTAGGTAAAGTAGAGGGGAAAGTACAGGCAACTTCTCCACTAAGCTCTCCAAAACATTAAGTTTTAAAATGAGACTTTATTTTATTTTTTTTTTTTAATCTCTCTACAGAGGTGGAGAGACCATATCCAAATCTTGAGATCAATGGCTAATGCTCATCCTGATGCAGGGAGCTGGGGTTCTGGGGTTCATGGTCTCCTGGCCATGTCTACACCATCATCCTCTTCGTAACCGCTGATCTTCCTCCCAGCCTATTGCTCTATTAGACGTTGGCAGGAAGGAGGCTGCCTGATGAAGCCTCCAAAGTGCACGCATGCCCACACTGCAGTGCACACATGGGAGAGGGCACCCAGACAAACTTCAAAACATGTATTTTGGAGCAGCAGTAAACACCAAAGGCAGTTTCAAACCCTCCTAGGCACGTGACACACGCTTCCATGTCACCGTGCACTTTGCAGGGACATCCCCCAAGTTTGCTGGGCCAAACACACCCCGTCCCCCAGTAAGTACTGCAGGTTTTCACCCGCTCCTGCAAGCCGGGTGGGTTCCCATTGGCCCCGGCAGGGCCTCATTAGTTTAGCTTAATCAAGTGGCGACCGCAGCCCGAGCCTGGGGAAGGGCGCAGTCAATGGGGTCTATTCTCCACCGAGCAGACACATGTCACCCCCATTAGCATCAATGGGAGCGACAAACCCGCGGCGGGCGGGGAGAAAGGCCCCAATGTGTCTAACGCGCATTAGAGAGGAACAGAGGGGCCGATTCAGCTGCGGGGCAAGCGCCTGCAGCTCCGCGCACGCCAGCGCCATGGAGCAGAGCTGAAATCCAACTCACTTTCCTCCCAATGACAGGGCGACTGGGGGAAAAACAAAACAGGGAGAAGGAAAAAAAAAAAATCACCATCACCCGCTCCTCGGCTGAGTCCTGTGTCAAAAAATGCCAAACAGGCTAAGCATCCGCTCTGGGTACAGGGCACAGGTGCCCAAATATGAAATCCCATTCCCGTCCCAGTGCTGAACGGCATCAGGGCTGAAGTCTTTTGTCAAGGCAGTGCCAGGAAAATTCC